GGGGAGCACTGCTCAGTCAGAAGCCAGGCTCATGGATAGTGAGCACAGTGATAGAAGCCTCTCCTGCTTCTGTGGTAGCTCTAAGGAGCAGCAAGCAGGTGGGCAGTGAGGAGGGGTCCTGGACTGTGAGAGGGTGCAGGCCAGGCTGAGGGATATCTCCCCCTTTCCCTCACACCCAACCCCCGTCCAGTGCACAAATTTCATGCACTGGGCCTCTAGTTTTCAGAAAATGATGTTAGAGTAATGTGTCTATTAGCATTTTCATTAGGCCTAAGGTTAGACAGCGGGAGCAGACTGGTCGTGAAAGATGTCTAAGCCATGTTGGAAGCTCTGTCCTGTTGTTTCTTTACTCTGTTTTCTTTCTCATTGTTGTGCAGTTTCTTGGAAGCCTTTTCAGGAGGCTAAGTTTAAGTGTGCTATGATGCTCTTTGCGGTCTCTGCCTCTCCAAACATGGTTGGGCAATTATTTCTGAGGAAAATTATTAAAAACGCAGCTTTAATCAGGGGGAGGGCAGTAGGGTAGAGGAACTGTGATGAGCGATGGCTTTCTAATAAGATTCGCATAACTGTGTGAGCGTGTTGGAGTTTCTGAAACTTCATGGGGATGAAAGAATCCGAAATTTCTCCACATGGAGGACAGGCTCCTGAGTGATGTGGAAACCCACGTGCCTTATCCGGGCCCGTCCCTCCTGGAAAGAGCCGTTCCTTTCAGAGCCAGTTAGCGTCCTGCTTCAAGAGCCCAAATCTGTTTACCACACTTCGGTGACATTATCTAGGCCTTTCCCCCCACAATTATTAGGGATAACTCACTTTTCTCCGCAGACTGTAGGTCAGAAGCAAATCAAATCAACGGCTCTGCCCCCCTCGCGCCCAGGTGAGTCAGAAGTGATTGGTCAGATGCGCACTTGGCCTTTCCGTCTGGCCGAAAGGCCCACACCCGCCACCGAGGAGACATTTGACCAATCTGATTATTTCCTCTCGCTAATTGGTTTTACTTCATTGAATCGAATGAATTGTCTGTTGTTTTGTCAATGTGGAGACACAGCTTAATCCACTTAGAAGGATAGGAGGTGCTTGGTAAACTGTGGGGCTAGTGAAACATTTATCATCGTTATTATCTTTTGGTGACTTTTCCTGGGTGGCAATGAAACTGTCTTCCATCATCCACTTCCATCTGTTTGACTTCTGCCCCAACCAAGCCTTCCCATCTGACTCCATCTCACCGGTAACCCTGAAAATGGTTTTCCCGCTCTGCTCTCCTCTCCCGGAAAAGTAGTCTCTGAACAGGAGCCGCTTGCATCTTAGAAGCTGTGGCATCCTGCTGCCAAGCTGCTTCTTCACCGTGACAGACCGGGCCGCTTCCCAGCACCTGCCCACACCCACAAGACTTGCGCCCCTGGGCTCCCCCCTTACCAGGGCCCCGCCTCACTCAGCACCCTCCTTCCACCTGGCTGCCCATCAGGCCCTGCCTGGTCTGCTCCTCCAGATCTGGAGCGGCCTCTGGGGGTCCCCCTCACCCTCATTTCCATGGCAGGCACCACCTCTCTGCAGCTTTAGGCATACGAAGTGCTACCTTCCTCCCACCATAGCCAGGCCCCTGCCTCCCTGTTCACACTCAGCGGCTCCAGCCAGCCTCCTGCTCACCGCAAGGCTCCGGGGCTTATGTTCTTCACGACCCTGCCAACCGGAAGCGATCTCGTCCTCCACTTCGCTCCCTTGGTTTCTCCCCGTTGGGTCAGAGGCTCGAAGGCCAGGCCCTGGGCCGGCTCTCGGACTCCCCAGGAAGGAGGGGACAGCAGGCGTGGGAGGGACTGGGAAGTGGGTGTTGAGAAAATGGGTGGCATGACGAAGGCCTGTCTGTGCCATCGGACACCCCATGCACAGGAGCCCACGTGAAGGTTGTGCTCCAGGAGAGGCCATGGCTTCCGTCCCCAAACTGTTGTCCTTTTCACGGACCTTCAAGCTGCTTTGCTTGGGATTAGGGCAGCAGGGACCTGGCGACAAGCCCCTAAGATGGAAGAAGTCCTGTTGGTATAAGATGGGGACAGAACACCTTCATTTGGCTCCACTTTCCTGACAACCCGGGGGGTCAGGAAGGACTGTGTCTGTGGCACCACCTCTAAGGACAAAGTGACAGAGGAGGCAGCCCCAGGGCAGGGCCAGCCATGGACTCAGCGGGACAGCGCAGTCCCGAGGGAGCCAGACACACCTCAAAACTCCAAAATTCACAGCCCAGGAGCCCCCTCCCCAAATCTCCACCCCCCCCCTTCCCACATCACAGTCCCCCTCACTCTCTGCCCGGCAGAATGCTGGGGCTCAGTCCTGAAGCGGGTCTGACATGCTGGGGGCACGGGGCACAGTCAGTGGAGCGGGGAGTGGGGTGCCACATTGAAAACAGAGGGTTCAGCCAAAGGGCTGACCCTGCCTGCCGGTCCCCCACTCTCAGTCCCAGTTTGGGCTACAGTGCGGACAGCCTGGCTGTGCCTCCGGGCAGGAGGCTGAGTCCATGTGTGCCGACCAGGCCTGTGGGGACCAGAGAATGATGCCAGGCTTTGCCGCTTCCACAGGGCAGTCAGTACCACGCAGGGAGGCCCTGGGGACAGACTGCACTCATAAGGAGTGTCCAATCATCTTGCACATGCCTACTTGGTGAACATGGATGGATCATTACAATTGCTGATATTCCAGCCAAATCTTTAGCTATAGAAAACAAACACACACACACACACACACACACACACACAAAAAACAAAACAAAACAAAACAAACACACACACACAGATAAAGCAAACAGAAGCAAAGGAGTTTGGAAGAAAGGGAGCGTATGTAAGGAGAGACAAACTTCACCAACATCAACAAACCATTATTCATATAACAGAGCCAGTAAGAGAAGATGTTGGAGCCACGAAATAATAGCAGAATGCCACAAAGGAGGAATGATAATGGTTAGTATTAATAGTGGCTCTTAGGAATGAAAAGCATGATAGCAGAAATAGACAGTATGAGTTGGGATAGAAAATCAAAAGAATTCTCCAAAAGTAAAATGAAAGAAAAGAATAGGAAATAGGAGAGAAAAGATAAGAAAAATGGAGGGTTAGATCAAGAGGCCCACTAGCCTCACACAGAGCGTGAAAGGAAGACATATGGGGAAAATGAAACACAATGCGTGTTTCTGAGACTGAAGGACGTGATTCAGATCAGAAGGCTGCACCGAGTGCCCAGACAATGCAGGAAAATAGACAGGACGGAGTGATACCCAGACGCAGAAGAAGCCAGGCCTCCTCAGAGAGAGAACACCAAAAGCCTCACCCACAGGGCCCCGAACCGCAGACTTCTCAGTCCGGGATGGAGCCAGCCTGGCACCCGCTGGAAGGAGAATGCACCCCAGTTCGAATGTTCTCCTCTCACAAGCAGCCGGGGAAGGTATCACCATTTCTTCTCACTCACCCTTTCTCAGGAAGCTACCTGGAGTTTTGGGTTAGGGAAGCAAGAAAGTAAACCAAAAGAACTGCCGGGGCCTGGGATCCAAGGATGGGGGTAGAGGGAGGTCCGGGGCACAGCCTCGCGTGGGGCCTGGAGCTGCAGCCCAGGCACAGGTCAGAAGGTGTCATGAGTGGTGCTGGTCCGTATCAACCTGGAGAACGCCACTCGTGACCTTTCTGCCTGCACAGCCATGACCAGAGGGTCAGGGAGGCGGTGGAGGTGGAAGAGGGGAGAGGGGACAAGTGGTGATAGAAGGTCATGTGACCTTGGGTGCTGAACACACAATACACAGATGATGTATTAGAGAATTAACACTTGAAATATATAATCTTATTAACCAGTGTCAACCCAATCATTCAATACATTAAAAAAAAAAAGCTTAAAAAAAGGAGAAAAGTCTCATGAGAGATCTAAGAAAATGAAACTTTAGACCATTGGGAAGGAGGTTGGAGGGTGATTTTAGTAAAAAGTTTATAGAAAACTCAGTGAAAGAAAAAAGCTGACTCCAGGGAACACTCTGTGGGTAATAAAGGCAGTTGCTCCCAGCACACGCAAGGCTCTGGCGCGGACAGCGAAGTCCCCAGCCCAGCATGGAGACTGTCCACTTTCCAGCCAGATGGCCACAGCGGTGATGGCACTGCTGAGGAGAGAGCGGTGGGTCTGTGCTTGCCTGCGGGCGATGAGGGCTGTGGAGAAGGTGTGCTCTTCCTAGTCCCTCACAGAAGTCACACACTGGGAATAAAATAAAAACAACAAAAAACAAACGGAGAAATGGTGCTCTGAGTGTGTTTGTGGGAGGACAGGAGACACATTAACAGGATCCGGTAGGCGAAGAGGAGTGGGTGGACAGGTGCTGTTGTTTTTCTTAATAAGTAGAAAGGTTTGACTTTTTAAAAGTCTGTGCTTTTGCAGCTTTTATCAACATAAAAGCAACTTTTAAATAGGGCCTAATGCTTTCTCTGTGACACAGCAATTCTAGAATGTTTTTCTCATCTTAACTCAAGACGGGCTCTGCCTTCCCTGAGATCTGGGCCTGCATTCCGGGGGAGGCTGTTTTGTGGATGTTGTGAAGGTCATACTTTGTCCCCCCTCAAACCCCCAAATCAAACAGTAACCCCCACAAAGCAACAGCAACACAAGACCAGCCTCACCCCAGCTGCCCCGTGCTCTGAGGACTCAGGCCTGACAGGGGGAGTTTCCTGCTCTCCGCTCTGGCTCTGGGGCCAGAGAACTCAATCTGAGACTCACAGATGGAAGAGGACTCTGATGCAAAGCCACATGGAAGGTTTAGGGATTGTCCTGTCTTTGCGAATTGGTTTGCCCCCTTCCTGCTCACCTTAGCAGAACAGGAGACACTTTAATAGATGGCGGGAATTGGTTCAAGGGACATCACTTTCCCCGCGAGAGATGAGGGCTTCTGAGCTCAGGGCTGGTCTTGAAGGCACAGGTAAACTAGGAAATGACCACCTGCTGACTTAATAATTTCAGGTGTATGTACATGTGCTTTCCACGTTTAGGGCTAAGCCTGCAAGGGGAGTCATCTTGTGCCACCTCAGCATCGCCTCTTGGTTGTGGGAACAGAGAGGAGAAGGACTGGAGACCAACCTCAGGAGGCAGCTCTCCCAGCACAGATCCGAGGGCTGTGAGGGACAGAGACACCTGGACCGTGCAGGTGGGAATTCCGACTTCGGTCGTTGCTGTCTATACGTTGTCTGTGGTTATGGCTCTCCTGTCTTTGTTGGTGCTCAATGGGCTTGGGACTGGTGGGGTAGTTGAGGGGTTTGCGTTTTCACAAAGCCAGACAGAAACACGGGGCAGTCTCGTCAGGCGATTTTGTGTCAACAGGGAACTCGACTCAACTTAATGCCCCAATTAGTTATTAATGGAAACCAATTGAAGATATAATATTGAAGTTCGCGCTCAGTAAAGAATCATTAAGGACTCAAGCCCTTGTTTCATTGAGGACCATGTTTCTGACCATACATTTCTTGTACCAATTAACCTTTTCCCCCATCTGCTTCCCTTTGCACCGTTCAGGATGTTATACCCTCTGCCAGTGAGTGTGGTGACCGCTGTCCTCAGAACGCCATGGCGGGGTCAGCACTGGCCCTGCCACCCGACTCCCACATGCACCTGGGTGACCACAGCCTTCCCTCCCACAGTGGAGATCTCCCCCTGGGGCTGCCTGAGGCTCAGCTGCTGTCTTCCCAGGAGCAGATCTCGGCAGGTCCCAGACTGCCCGCTTTCTTGGATGCTCAAGAGCCTTTATCCACTGAGTCCAAAGGAAGCTCTCCCCGCCATGACACTGCTACCTCTGTGGCTGCCGTTGGTACTTCTCTGGGGTCCGGAGGAGGTCACACAACCCCAGGAGCTCCCAGTGCAGAACCACAAGGCCGTGGCCAAGCTGCAGGGGAGCTTCGGACACAGAGCTCCCCAGACAGCAAATCTATCGCCCCCCGCACGTCTCTGTCCCTCTGGCCAGGGAAGCCTTCCCCTGCGCCAAGACTTTCAGGTTTGATTCCATCAAGGCCACCTGGGAAAGCTCATCCTGCCACACTAGCTCCAGAGCCAGCACCAACCAGTTCACACCAAGAGGCAGGGAGACCCGAGGCACACCTTCCCCCTGAGGGGCAGGAGAAAGGAACGCACCCTCAGGGACGTACGTCAGAGGGCGGGGCAGTGCTGGGCCCCCGCCCTCCGGGAGGAAAGGACACTGAGGAAATTCGGGAATCGGGATTAGTGGCTCTGAAGGCTGATGTGGTTCCCTCCACGCCAGGGCAGCCTGTCGGCGTCCAGGAAGCCTCTTTGAAAACCATCAAGAAGAGGAGTTTGGGAGGAATGAGGAAGCAGACGCGCGTGGAGTTCAGCGACACCAGCAGCGACGATGAAGACCGGCTGGTGATTGAGATCTGAAGGCCCGGGCAGAGGGCATCTGCGGTCGGACACTGGCCCTGCTTCCTGTGAATGCTGTCGAGCTGGCTGGCTCCTGGACCCTTGTCTAGAAGCACCTAAAGATTGGGAAAGCCATTTTGGGTTCTTTCCAAGTCATCCCCAACCAACTCCAAACCCCTGACTCAGCCTCAGCCTTCCCAGAGGGCCCTCCCCGCCGGTATCCACAGGTGCCAGGAAAGCCAAAGGTGGCTGTGACCGCTTGGCACACGGCGACTGTGGCTGGACTCCCAGGTACTCTCTGCCTCAGTCCTCACTGCTCCTCCGTAAAATGGCATTGACCACGAAAGCCAAGAGTATCAACGAGTACACCCCACAGAGTCAAGGCAACAATGTCCTCATTAGTAACTGGGGGTAAGCACCTGAGCTGTTAACTAGGGGATGAATTTGGCACCAAATTACTTCTGTTCATTCTGGAGACAAAATTCAGATTCATTAAAATACTGAAGTTTCGTCAGAATAATTCTCCTCCTCTTCCTCGGTAGTTGTAAATATATTTTAAAACTTGTGATCTGGTGAAATGCTGATTATTCTTCAATGTCGCTCAATGGCTAATGTTTATGTATGAGTCAGTGACACAAGCATGTACTGTCTGGTGCCTGGTGCCTTTTCTGTTGAGACCTCTGAAACCTTGGTTTTTCCAACTCTTGCAAAGGAACGTTGTACTGAAAGTTAATAGAACAGTCTCTGTGATGACTCATTATTTTGAGGGAGAAAACCCACTTATTTTCCTCTGGTTCTCTGGGCCATATTGTGCGCTGAGGCCTTTCAATTAGAGGGTGACATTCCGTGATCTGCGCCTCGCCCCTGCCTGCTCATCGTGACGGAGCCTTTTCGTTCCCTCGAGGCTTCAAGGATACAAAACTAATTGGAGTTTCGATGCTGTTGTACATCTCAGTAATTTTATTTTGGGGGCTTAGTGTTACTTTGCTGTCAAATTAAATCAGCCTCTATATTGTACAAGTCAGAACAGCACAGAAAAAAATTGCCCAATATTCCAAGTCAACGCGCCCCAGTGCAGAACAAAATTGCAGCGCGCAGCCTCGGAAGTCCTGCTTCCTCTTCTCCTTAAATGGGAGAGAAAAAACTTAGAGAGACTTACACTGCTGCATCTCAGTAACATTTTATACTTGTTTTTGGTAGATTTTGTACAATCTGAAATTTATAGCTCAGCTCTTTTGTGTTAATTTTGATGTAAGAACGTTCTATGCCCTCTCATAGTGCAGACGGTGTGATGACATCCCACACCTACTGCATAGTTTAACATGGCCTTGCCTGTCACTAAGGATGGTCACATTGCAAGGAACTTCATGTGAATTTTCCAATTTCAGGGTGATTGATAGAAAACATTAGCACGTGTCCGAGGTCATCTCATATGAGCTCATAAATACTCAAGCGATGTCAAGCCCATCCGAGAAAAACATGAGGAGGGAGGTGAAAAGGAGGTTAGGTATTTACCTTCTGTGCTTTCTGAACCGAACAAAAGTGATGTGGTGATAGGCTACCCTTTGAGCTACCTGCACTACCTTGACGAGCGATGCTGTCTGGAAAAGTGGCCTGAGTGCCGAGGAAGGAAGAACAAAGGCCTGACTTTGACCTTAACCACCTGGGAAATCTTGGTGAAGGTACATACCCTCCCTGTGCCTAAGTTTCTCCAAACGAGAGTGAGAGAGTGGGAAAAGGTGAGCTGATGTGTCTCCAAGTTCCGATCCTGTGAGGATGCATGCACTGCCTGCCCTCGTCTTCACGTAGGAGGTCTTGGTGGGGTGGGTGTGATCCCCCTGGGGAGGGGTCTTTCACCCAATATATTTGGGAGGGGGCCCAAAGCCAAAACACCTTCCACCAATTCCATGGAGAGTGTGAGCTCAGAGATGTCCCACCTATTCCTGTTCCCTCCCTCCCCCAACCCCCACCCCAGAGTTCTAGATTTGGGGGTACAGTCATCTAGTTGATCAGCGTTGGTTCACCATTCAGAAATGAAAAGCAAAACCATAACCCTACTGTGTGAATGGGGACAGCATGTCTGCAGGCTGAACTGGCCACCTTGTCTCCGGAGGCCTGGTCAGGGCGAGAAAACCTTCCAGATCCTCTGCTCCTGGGAGCTGCCAAGCTGTTAGCTAGTTGACTGCACCCAACTCAGCACCTCATGGTGGTGGGAGCTCTGTCCTCTTCAAGCCACCACTTTTGGCTGCAGCATCCCTGCCTCAAACTCCCTATGTCTCTCTTATAAAGGCGAGCAGGTTGACAAACCCTTTGTCACAGCTGCTCATTTCGCTGGTGGCTGATATAAAGTGTACCTTACTTTTATCAACATGAATTTTGCAAAGATATATTTCAATGTCTTAAAAATGTATTTTGAATGACCCTAGAGGACTTAGCTATTGAAGATTTTTTGTTGTTGTTAGTGAAGGATCCTTTTATAAAGCAACCAACAGTGTCTGATTTTTATAAATCTTAGTTTCCTATGGTTGTTTTTATTTAAAGCAGAATTCAATTCTAGGAATACACCTTTAAGGATAACATGAATACCCTATAACCCAGTTTGGGTTACTGAAAATAAAATTTCAATATTCTCAATTTGTCATTTCTACAGTTTTATACCCAGTGCTATGTACTGGTTAAGAGAAAAACAAATCTATTTCATAACAGGGCCAACCATACTTTAAAGATCAGGGCCCCTACTCTCCTGAGTGCTATTAATTTTATTGTACCCTCAGGTAAATGTTTTAACCACTGGTTCCTCAGCTTCTTCCACAGAGAAGGAATCCAAGAATGCTAACACGAGCTAAGGCAAGGAACACATAGAATCCTTTGCAATTTTCCTGGGGCAAAGTATACAAGTACCATGAGCCAAGATGTTCAAGACTCACCATCAGGTTTATTGCTGCCACTGTACCTACACCTGGACAGATCTCACTTGTTAGAGGTGTGGAAGAAAAAGATTTTATGTCCTCCCTTGGCAACCTATACTGTTAAGGAACTCTTATAGTCAGGTGGTTTGTGGTGGACAGCCTGAATCCTCCTGTTGGAAGGCATGATGGAGTACAACTCATCTGTCCTGTTAGATAGAATCTTTGAGATTCTGGATAAGCTAATATCCCTTTAGTCCACAATCAAGCAGAACCTATGGTTCATTTGCCAAGAGGTAAAAACAAAGATGGGGCAGGGGTGCCTCTGAATTTGAATAAGAACTCTGCTCAACCTGGCTGGCATGGCTCAGTGGTTGAATGTCAAACCCATGAACCAGGTTTGATTCCCAGTTGGGACACATGCCCAGGTTGTGTTTCTGTCTTTCTCTCCCTCTCCATTCCTCTCTGAAATCAATAAAAACATATTTAAAAACAACCAAATAACCCTGCCCAGCATGGTGAGTATCTGAGGACAAGGTAAACATTCCTTCCAAAACTCTTTCCTCTGATGCTCTGATGAGGCGCAACCTTGCAGAAATAAAATACATGAAGACCCCATGTCTTGGATATGCAAGACACAGGATTTGCAGCCTCATACCACATAGTTTCCTCTTGACTTTACATTTCTCACTTAGAATGATCACATTCTCCCCCTCCCCCTCAACCCCCAGCATAGAAATTTGCATTTTACACAAAATTTGCCTGGTGCAGCAGATTCTTGTAGTTAGGGAAAATGTCACAATCAATGACGTGCGGCTGCTCACCTCCCCTGGTCTGCCTGGCCCTGGCAATCACATTCCTACCACTGTAGCAAAGAGGGTGTGGGTATTTTTGCTCATGTCAGTTGTGATTCCTATAGCTCTTGTGAAGGAGCTCTTTGGCTTTTGAAACACTATATTTCTCCATCTAGAGCACAATTGCTTATCCTGATATTTCAGGACTCATTACATTTAGGTATCAGGTCCCAGCAAATCCTGTGTGCTAGGTTTGTACCATTCTTTGTACCCATGCTTTGTACTTATGTGGGAATATCCATGATTTATTCTGGAGAAGTAAAGGAACATTCTAGTATAACACTTCACCCTGGGGAGAGAAGGAACCAGGGAAAATAGTCTCTGTCACTTGGAGCCATAGAGGATGACTCAACATCTTGAGTGCATTCAACTGTTCATAACTTGCTACTCTACTGATTGTTTCTTTATATGGTTAAATTATTTTGTTTTGATAAAAATAAAACTGAAATGAAAATGTCTTGTGTGATTTGTGAACATCCTAACCAAACATACCACAGACAATATCCTGTATGAACTGGATGTCTGATTATTCCCAAGAACTTGCCATTCTGTCTGCCATATTGGTGACCCATTCCACTCAACCAAAGGATTTGGTAGTGGCAAAAAAAAAAATCACACTTTCTTGTGCTGTTTCCTTTTCTTACTTGTCATTGTCTGCCATATTTTAGATTCCATAACTTGGAATGTAGCTAAACTTTGAAGCCACATGAGGGCACTATCCACAGTGCATTATTCCAAAACTTACCCCCTTAGAGTTGATGTTTCTTGATATTTAATATTATTCATTAACAGAGAAAAACATCCTAATTCAAAACAATATCTCCTATGAAGAGAACTCCTGCAGTCTTTGTAAGGATAAGCAGACTTATTTTACATGGCAGTAGAATACTATTCTTTGTCTATAAGAAGTCAATGAAGACACAAGATAGGGAGAAAAAGTGGGGGTGATAACATGGAAGAAACAGATATACTAATTCATACTAATAGCATTTTTGCCAACTCATCAAACTCTAATAGTAATAAATTAATCCATTATTTCCAAACTTCAGCCATTTGAGAACCATTTTAATGTCTGGTTTTTTTTGTGTGTTTTTTTTTTCCATATGTGTCCACTTTTGGGTCTGTTATTTGCTTAATACTTTTATTCAAATAATCACTATCTTAAAGAAGCTACTATTGTCCTAAATAAAATCTTAATTTATTTAGGGCAATAATAAAGTCTTAATTTAGTAGTTATGTATATTTTCTGATATGCATTAAAGTAAAATAAAATGATTAAGACTCATTTATCCATGTACCAAACATCGTCTTTATACTGCCAGTTGTACATCCCCACACTTGGGAAACATTGAGTGAATTTGAAAGGTACATACCTTGTTAGTTTCTCTAGTTAGTCTAATTTCTCTTAAGCACAGCTCTCTCTTCATTTCCCTCTGAAGCAATAGAACTAGTGACTCTACAAGTAGAATTGTAGGTTTATCAGATAACTTTCTTCAGCCAAACAGCACAGTTGAGTTAATAATATTCCAAATTAAAGGATTATTGCATGTTTTGGTCTCAAATGATTAATCATATAATATCTTGTTGCATAAATATCTACATTTTTGTTTTGGTGTTTTGTTGGCTGGTTGGTAAGAACAAAATGATATACAGGAAAGCATCATTAGGGATTCACACTCAATTACAAGCAGTGCCATTAATTCTACTGAAAGACCCGCTTCATACTTTTGAATGCACAGCAAATGGATTTGGCTTTACTAACAACCACAGAGAGTGACTGTCCATTCTGCTTTGTGGTGACAGCCTCTTGGTCTTTGGACTGTGAACACAGAAGGACTTTCTCTGTGGTGTAAGATCTTTGTTTCCAGCTGTGACAACATCTGCTTTTAGTCTCCTTCAGCTTCTTTCAGAGACAAATTCAACACCCTTTATCACTGAGCATCCTGGCATACAATTTTTGTCCAGAAGTACGTTGATTGTTTTTTTTGGCATAAATGAATAAGTGAATAAATTCCTACAGGAAATTGGTGGTTTTGTATGTCCAGTATCAGGAAAAGAGTGGCCCAGCCCTGCACTGGCCATACTGAAGATCTGGTTGTCTTCTGTGTGTACATTGTGTGAAATGGGGTATAATTGATTCAGTAGAAATGAGCCTCATTACTTCATTACAAATGGAAAGCCTAATAGGCAGGCTTTTTTTCTCTATATAGAAGTGTTCCAGTCAGACATGTTTACTCTAAGGACTGTTCCCCCTACACACACACACACACACACACACACACACACACCATTCATCAAAGAACTACTCAGAAAGTTCTTGTTAAAAGAACTTGGGTGGAATGGGGTCACTGATCTAGGATATGAGACAGCCATATATGACACAAAAGAGATCTCTTGGAAGTAGGGCTCAGTGCCTGGCTCACAGAAGGTATGAGTTGCACATTTGCTAAATAAGTGAATGGAAATGGCCCACTGTGAGTCAAGGAGAGGAAAGAGAGATTCTCAGACGAGGAGTATGGCCCACTCCCTGTTCTCATAGAGGTCTACTTCATTATCAGAAATGAGCAAAGACATCTAGAGAAGCACATAGCATGCACAGGATGATATAGGAGTAAAAAAGACATACAGGATTCATGGGGCTTTT